TATTGTGTTTGAAAAAAATCGGAAAGTATAGTTAGGTTAGGTTAGGTTAGGTTAGGTTAGGTTAGGTTAGGATACGCACAAGTACATACATACATACGTAACCACACACAATCAGACTAAACACACACACACACAAACACACAAAGAAGAGGGAGGGGAGGAGGAGGAGTCACTGGCAAGCGTAATATGGATGACGAAAACTGTAAACCTGATCTTCACGGCGACTGGTCATATATCCAGTCGTAATAATAAGCACTAACTTATGCTAGAGTAACATGATCATTAATACCTGGGCTCCTGACCTACCTGGACGCCCTCATTGGCTCCTGTAGGGTTCTAGTCCTAACTGACCCGTATCACCATGGGCCTTAGTTTAAATGAACCCTAGATCAAATGGGTCTCACTCCTAAGCTACCTCAGAACTAATGGGCTCTAATTCTGATTTTGCCCTCGTCTAATGGGTTCAAGTGCAATGGACCCCAACGCTAATCGACTCTAACCCTAATGGTAAGGTTGTTTTGGGTCCTATAAAGACTGGGGCCGATTTGACTTGCAACCCCCAACACGACGTCGCTAGCATAGTAAGCTCTTCATTACGACTATAAACAGTCAGTCTTTAGCATACAACATTGATAAAGTCATTATTTTGGTTGTTCAGTGTTTATGATAGACGAAACACCCGGCACAAGCTTTACCTGAGTAAGGCAGCTCAATGAATCCCTTTCCTGACTGACTGACTGACTGACTGACTGACTGACTTACTGACTGAGAGAACTTTTTACTCCCATTTCCCCCATTCCTCATGCCTCCATCCATACGTAAGATTAACGCTGTATTATATGGTGCTTAACACGGTCTTCCTTTCGTAGATTCTCATTAGATAGAACCATAGAAGATTTTCAAGTCCTTGCAATTTTCCTTTTAGAACGAATAAGGTGTGTTTATGGTGGTTCTGGAAGGTGACGGTGAAGGTGATTGAAGGTGCATGAAGACTTCGGGGACTTGTGCTAATTGGCCCACACCTATTTGTAACTAACTTCATCTAACCATTAGAATTGGGGCCCACTTGAATTGAATTGAAACTTCTAATGGAATTCAGTTCTAATTGGCCCCCAGCTTAACTGAACTATCAACATTCGGGCACAATTTCAGTGGGTTTAGTTCTAATGAGCCCTATTCCTAAAGGGCACTCGTTTTAATGCCCAAATACTTTAGATTAGGTTGGTGCCTATTACTGTACAAATCGTCAGTGCTCCCAAAAAATAAAACTTGGATCATGTCTTAAGTTGCGTTGAAATCACCAGAATATTAGTTTCTTTTCCCGACACAGAAATAATTAGCGTCACACCTGTATAAAATATCATTAATGGTAACAGTGAACAACAGACTATCAAATGCTAAAGGATTATCAGCAATTAAAACATATAACTTAATTCTTCTACCGCCCATCCCAACCTCCCAAAAATAAAGTCGAATAAGGTAACTAATTTATGTATCACCGATGCTGTAAATTTGAGAGCCAGACCTTTAGAGAATATACTGTAGACAGAGTAAACGTGGATTAATGGTACGTTTATGCAACCACAATTCTTTTAATAATACATATGTAAGTTATACCAATAGTGTTAATAATAATGAAATAAAAATGAATATTACCTCATAAGTCATTTGTTTATTCCTGTGGGTCTTTTTTATTCATCCTTATGTAAAGATATAAATCTGTTAGTGTTAATTATTATGTAACTATTTCCTAATTATGTGAAATCGTAGGACAAAATATTTGCTTAAAAAATCTGACGTGAAAATTTGGCTTTGATCAGTATCTGTAAGTCATTGAAGTCACCAAAATATTAACACGTTACATTACAGTATTTGCTCATTGGTATGGAACAGCTTAGTTTCTTTTTAATTGGTCCTTTTGTGAGGATGTGTTGGAGACTATCATAAAAATTATCGATATTTTTATGCTACAAACTAGTTTATCAAATAATAAAGAAAAAATATAAATTACTTCACGATATAGTACAGATATACAATTTCTTCTTGATTTATACAATATACATAGAAACCCAACATTCCAAAATATTTACAAAAACCACAATGAGAAGAATAAAAAATATGCAAAAATAGAAAATCAAGAAACAAGCATAAAACACTTCAATATCACAAAACAGGATAAACCTTTCACACTGATCCGTAACTGATGATGACTGTGGGAGCTTCACAGGGCGAGACAAACACGCCAGTACCAAACGCTAAATATGCGACAGCCTTATAAGGGAGAGGCCTTCGAGTTTTGGCCAGACACTCAAGGTCACCCAGACCCAAAAGGAGAGGAGCAGAAGACGGAAGAAGGATGGGTGTTAAGGGTGTACTTGTCGGCCAGCTCGGAGTCCGGGGGTGTTGATGCGGGGCAGAGGCGCTTACCTACCTGCTGGGGCCTAGAGATGACGATGACTTAGCGAGGTACTGTAAAAGATGAGGGTGTGGAGTGTACGTGTCGAGGGAGGTCTTAAGAGTTTCAGATGTTCGAGACGGGAGTAAACGTGTCTGTAGACAGGGGTGGGGACGGGCTTGTAGAAGGTGAAGAGGGGGGAGAAGGGACGTTCCTGTTGGAGGCCTGAAAGTGACGATGATGTAATGGGTTACTGAGGGAAGATGAGGGCCAGGAGTGTACGTGTCCAGAGTTTTGAGATGAAGTTATACAGGGAGGAGGGACGTATACCAGTAGACAAATGGTGGGATGCTGCTGTAGTAGGAGGAACGTGTTTGTAGAAGGTGTAAGGACGCGCCAGTAGAAATGGTGAGGAAGATGCTTGCTGTAGATGTGGAAGTGATGACGATGTAGTGAGGTACTGAAGGAAGTGAACGTGTCCTTGTTTCTTAAGTCGGATTTCGGGAGATCGAAGGAAGGGTATGAAGACAAAGCAAGTGGCTGAGGGGATCACACATGCCTCTCGTGTTATGAAGTGAGAGACGCAAGAGGAGAACCGAGAGTTAAAGAATTATATTACGAAACGAAGAGAGAAAGTGACGGAGAAATGGTAACGCTGGAAATTGTAGGGACGTGGGGGAGATCACGAGCGTATATATACCTGTTTGAGCTCCTTAGGTAAAGATGAATGAAGGGTAATGGTAGAACGATAGAGGCCCGGAGTGAAAGGTGATGAGAGACCGTCGACAGGAGGTAATAAGAGAGGTTTTAAGGCTTCGAATCAAGACTAATGACACAACTAGACGCCAGGATAAGCTTCGGGAGGGATTAACACTACACCCTACAAGTGAATCATGACAACATTCATCTACGAATTGAGTGAAAGAAGATATATCATGTTACCAGTGTACAGTATCGTGGGTTAAGCGTATTTCTATGACTAAAGACGCTTGCTTTATTTTAAGATGGTTAAAGGATTATCCTCCTCAGTTTTAACAAGCTGGGATGCATTAAAGAGGGAAGGAAGCTGTCTGAGATGACGGTGATATCAGAGTAACAGAAGATAACGTGCCTAATGGTTGGACAGGGACGGATAACCTTAGATCAAGAGATGTGAAGTACGGCTGGATAACAGTGTACTCGTGTGGTCTCTCTCTCTCTCTCTCTCTCTCTCTCTCTCGAAAATTAAGAGAGAGAGAGAGAGAGAGAGAGTGTGTGTGTGTGTGTGTGTGTGTGTTTTAATTGTTATTTAAATTTACATTAATTTTTACCATGAGACAACCTTACTCGTCCACATATTCACTCACATTAATCCTTATAATTCCTAAGTAATATTACAATCGACACTCAGCGAAAGAGTGAAAGGAATGTTATTTAAAACTCATTAATCAACTTCGAAATACACCTGAATACAGTCGACTTATTTAGAGTTAAAAATAAAACCAAAATAATCTACTAGCCTGAAAATGATGTATTGATCTTTAATACTGAGCGCCCCGACCCTCCCTCTCCCCACGGTTTAGTTGATAGACCAATCATGAACATCATCGGGAATAAAAGAGAGGTCAAAGGTTTCTACCCAGATGACCTAGTCAGGCACACGGGTGAAAGTTCATGACAAAGCTACGAAGGTCTAAACTCGTGTGCGGTTCATGGTAGTGGAAAATACATCATGTTAGTCTCTCTCTCTCTCTCTCTCTCTCTCTCTCTCTCTCTCTCTCAACACCAGCTTTTCAGACTTCATTAAAAACATTACGCTTAGTCATACATGTATATCATACTCTCCAGGTGTGTGTAACAGGTATAATATAATGACAATCTCCAGGTACATTGTTTAGGTGTGTTCCATCATTACAATACAAGGAAACAGTTTTACAATAATTTAGAGAGTTGTGAAACTATGTAGATCTATTCCTTCCCTTAAACCTTTCATTCTACATTTTTTTTCTTATACCTGAACTAAAGTCCTTTATCCAACCCCTCCCAACTCTCACACACCTGGAACAATCACGAGTCATCCTAGGACGTCACGTATCAGAGACAGGCTGAGATAGGGTACCTGTATCTTACCCTCTGGCCTGGAAGTTTGGCTAAGTAGTAGGATTTTATTTTACGACTGAATGGAAACCGATACACGGTTGATTAAATTTGTGTTTGTTTTGGAATGAGACTATATCAAGATTTCTTCGTTAATAATATCTATACTCACATTCGTATTCATTCTACTTCACTTTATGATTATTAGTTACAGTTGTGGATTAAATTATTTTAATTCTTAAGATGATATATAATTTAAGTCCAGAGTATTCCTTAATATATGTGTATTGTTTATGAAACTTCTTTATCCTTGTTACTTAAAATGTTCAATAACTAAATCCATGTCACAGAGATATACAGAATACTCATGTGTGTACTTGAACCTTTAAGACATATAAACTAATCTTTTAATCTGTTACCTGTATATACGGACAGGTAAGTACACCACCTCGAGACAATTCGACAGAAAAAAAAGTACAAATTTCGCCAGGTAGTGCGAGGTTCGAGGCAGTGTAATGGGTATGAGGTGAGGAGGGTGGGGGATGTGGTCAGTTGGCCGCCGACAGTCAGGGAGAGTAGACGTGCCGCGCTCACCTCCGCCTCCACAACAGGCACCAGGTAGGAAGGATGCTGGGAGAGGGGTCGAGGGACTCTGTATTGTTTCCTAGATTTTCCGGTCCTTCTATTTCTTCCAAAGTATTAAACATCTAAACTAATACCTCAATATAATTTACAAGTTTTAATTGTTTGCTATTGTATAATGTTGCTGTAATGTGTCTCCAATCTTCTTGTCTTTACCAGGATTATGATTAGCTAAAGTAATCCCTTATTAAAATTTACTACTAGTACTATTTATTACGATATGATTATTTGTTTCTATTATGTCAGTATATTAATGTGTGTGTTCTTCTCCTGCAGGTAGCCAGTACGCCACCGTTCAGGGACAGTTGTAAAGGACCCAGGTTGCCAGACAGCCCACAAAACGAGTGAATAATGCAGAGCGCTTATGGTAATAAAATAGTTCTGTTTGGCCAGTGAAGAACATTACAGAATTGTGTATTTGCCAAGGAAATGAAGAAAGATATGACCATGAAAAAACTAGAGAACCAAGTGGGGGGTCCCCAGGAGTTGAGAGAGACAGTGGACGACAACAATAACGACAGTGAGGAGAGGCAGCGACAGGGCAGCAAGATGGCAGGGGGCTGCGGCGGGAAATACCTGTTACGTCCCCGCTCCGTCCGCTCTAGACGTAGCTGTGACAGTGATTGGACCATCCAGGACACGCGGAGGCAGAAGTCACGCCCTGCGCCACTGTCCAAGTACCGCAGGAAGACCGCCAACACTCGAGAGAGATTCCGCATGCGACAGATCAACACAGCCTTCGATAAGCTACGGAAGATGTTGCCATCGTGGGAACGTGACCGGAGCTCCAGCTCGGAGATGACCAAGATCACCACGCTGAAGCACGCGTGCGCCTACATCAGCTCTCTACAAGACGTCCTGAACAACACCGTCAGCCAACATTATCGAGAGGGCAGCTCCACCCAGGACACCTGCCCGTGGGTCCTCTCCAGCATCCTGGAAGACGCCTCAAGGCTCCAGGACTCCCAGATGGACACCTACCACAGAATGTCCAATAAATCTCCTACTATGGACGTAGATGTCGCCCCAGAGACAGATCTCATGTCGCTTCTGTGTGACTCCTCAGATTCTGGAGTGTTTGAAGACAACCTGGAGTCGTTCTCGTACCTGTCACCGATGTGTGAGGCTGACGAAGTGGCTCTGCTGCTCCTGGGTGCTGAACCCACGACCTACTGGCACGATCAGTCCCACACACAGTTTGCCGTGTGCTGATAAAAGCTATAAACGTTAAAGTGATAGTATCGGACACAAACACTTATGACGCAGGCTGAGTAAGATGTAACACGCATACTCTAATGGATGATTATCATGCTTGTTATACTCCCTATTGTTGCCTCGTCTCATTGAATGAATTTAAATTCGCCGTGAAGAATATGTCATGGTGACTCAATGACGGGGAAAATGGTAATCTAATTCCCGACGCCAACTACTGACAGAAACAATGAGCCTCTCTCACCCACAGTTAAGGCTCATGTGATACGAGCGTCAGTGTAAGCTTAAGTGCTATTACTCCACATGACACGGATAAACAAAGTCATTAGTGTGTGGACAAGGAGAGATAAGGCTCACTGGTGCGTGGCGGGGCTGGGAGATGAGCCGTGTAGGTGCGTGGCGGGAAGAGAATGACAAATCCCGGTGATCATGGATTAGAATTACAAACATGGATATCCTGTCATTTATTGGTCGGTGTCATGCACATTATCCTGTAATTGTAATAGTTAATCTACTATTAAGGTTTTACTACTTATTGTTGGACTAAAATCACTGTTGCCATGTTCACTGGAGGAATGATACTCACGGGTAACACAAAATACTAGAGATGGGGGAAGGGTTCAATTATTAACACCCTACTAGAAACATTGCTGACACATGTAACAGTGACTTTAGACCACATAAACATCGCCAACTGGGAGGAGCGAGGCGCCACAGTGTTCATCATGTCTCACCGGCGCTAAACATTCTAGTCAAAGGGACTGTGCCATAACTTGGACCCGTGTCATACACTCACTAACAAACTCACGTTGGTGTTGTGTGATGGAACTGTAGGTTAGCGATAGTTACTGACTTGTGGGGGTAGTATACTGCTAACATCGTTGTATGGATTGTTTCTACAGCTTTATTTAACCTGTTTCTCTACTATTTTCATGACTGTTGTTTCTTATTGCTGAATAAAAGTCACTAAGTATTAAGATACATGATTTTCCTTTTCTCAATTGTTTAATGACATGCAAAATTATATATATATATATATATATATATATATATATATATATATATATATATATATATATATATATATATATATATATATATATATCATATTTTAAGGATATAATAAAATCGTCAACCTAAAAAACTATATTTAAATAATGAAATTTCTTATAGATATATCGCTGTCTCAATTTATTCATTTAGAAAAAATCACAGACCCGGAATTTGATACTAAAGAATTAATTTTCTTTATCACTTTATTCCACACTTACGGCAGAACATTCAACAATAAACAAGTACTGTATGTGACAGACCTGAGTAACAATGGAAAATAAAAAAAAATAAAAAAAAAAATCATTATCGTTACTTTTCCTTCCAGTTAAAAATAACTGTTGATTACAAATGAATAATCATTATATTAAAAAAAGATGAATGACTCACTTTATAAATTACTGCTACATTTAGCCTTATAATCTATAACAAGGAGTACGGTTCAGTAAGTATTGTGTCAGTCATAAATATTTTGACAAAACAAGAGAAACTAAGACTCATAACACACACACACACACACACACACACACACACACAGGAGGACAACATCTACAAACAAATTCCACAATGTTATGTACAATACCAAAGAGGAATACCACAAGGTAAGATCACTCCCCCTCACCTCTTCACATCAGTACGGAAAGAGGATTTTAAATCAGTCACTTTTATAAACCACTTTACTGCTAACACAGATATACAGTCAAGAACAATATATTACACAGAAATTAGTATGACTGAAGCTGAACTTGACCAAAACGAAAGCCAAAATCAAAGGAAGAGTTACATTGCCTGAAGTACCTTTGGAATATTATGTCGTGTATATAAAGACATTACGCTTCTTCGTCTCTTGAGAAAAAAGAGAGTAATGCATCCCGCTTGTTTAGACTCGGAGCTATGAAACAACGTGATGAAATACAAAAATAATACAGACATTTCCTGATACTCATACACATAAAACGTTGTATGCTGGGTGTATTAAACAAAGAAACGGGTGAGATCCCTGACAGAAGAGGGTATACCATTACTATATGAACCATGGAATATTTATACCGAGGAACAGATCTGGTATGGAGTTAGGGAGACCATAAAAAAATAGCGTAGCAGCAACCCAAGGAGATGCTTCACTGGATCCCACGAGGTAATAATAGAGCGAGAACATCAAGCTGATGAATAAATGAAAATACGATGTTTGTAGACGCTGTGGACAGAAAACTAAGAAGGTATGTGGTGAAGGCCTTCGTTTATGTGTGCGTGTGTGTCTGTGTGTGTGTGTCTGTGTGTGTGTGTGTGTGTGTGGCGCTAAATAGGGATAATCGTCCAATTTAATCTTAAAACGCAACTATCGTTACTGCCAAATAGGGGAAAGGGTTTGCTCTTCATTGCTATAACTTAATGGAGATGTGATCGTAGGTGTTAGGTTAGGTTAGGTTAGGTTAGGTTAGGTTAGGTTAGGTAGCATTTCATTTATGGATTCTATTGTGATTACTTATGCAAGGAGAGAAAGAGAGATAATGAGAAATAATGAGAGAGGAAGAGAATAAAGAGAGACAAAGTGAAACAAAGATTAACATTTAACCTTAAAGACCTTAAGCCTGCATCAATTTTCTTTCTTCTCTTTCTCTCATTTTTATCTGTCTTCTCCTGCCCCACACGCACATAAACTTCAACACCCTCTCCTTCTAACCCTTCCCCTTATAATTCCTTCCTCCTCCTTCCACATCTTCCTTTCCTTTCCTTTCCTCACCTCCTGCCCTTGCTCCTTCCTCCTCCTCGACCTCCTCCTCTCCTTCTATTCCTTCTCCTCTTCCTTTCCTTCCTCGTTCCGTCTGCTTAACACCTTTGGACGAGTACGTATATGAATTATCAGCCACCAACTTACTACATCAAGTTTTCGAATTCCTTCACGTGACATCACACACACACACACACACCAGGATCTCTACTAATTCATGTTTGCACGCATGAATTTGTGCGGATACCCCTAAAAAAAGTATCTTGACACTTCTAAAAATGTTTAGTCCATATTACGACCTTCAGTAATCTTAAGACGTTACTTTTTAAGACAGAAAATATTAAGAAATTACACTACGGGAGAATGTGACTTAACACCATCTTATATGACTTTCTTTAATGAGCTAAAATGAGTTTGTGTAATGTTCTCAGTAGTTAATGTTGCAAAAATCTGCTGTTGATATAAGCTCAGTAATACCGTTCACCTATATAATGCCAACGACAATTAATAGTTGACACTGAGAGTAAATAAATATCATTGGTCATGCCCGGAAGAGTTGTCAGCTATTTTACACCCCAAAAATTTGTAGTAAAAAAAAAAATCAGCAATTTCCTTTTAGATATTTTACTACTGACTGCTGTAGAGGATAAAATGAATATCACTCAGCATCTTTCATTATGGTAGGGAGACTTATCCTTAATAATCTGAATACGTCCTTATAGTCTTGTTTCTTGCTTGATGGTCATATATACAGTTTTACAATTTATTTCTTATACATATGTTTCTTTACTACGACAAGCCTCCATCAAGCCCCTCGGATAAGGGACACGAGCCAGGTATGCAGCAGGTACTCCTCCTCCAGATCATAATGTGAAGGCACTGGAGCATGTAACTAAATTCTCTGGGGTCTGCAGTGGCTCTCACGGACTCCTGGGGCTGTGGTGACCCAGTCTTTGGTCTTGTTGCGTCCTGTATTCATATCAGTCAGTATTATAGGGATCATTGCTTCACAACAACACTTTCAATGGATTTTTTCTTTTCCCAACATTCGAGATGATGTTTGCATAGTAGTGATCATATTGATAAACTTTTATAAACTAACAAACTAAAACTGAATAGCATCAGTACTCATATAAACTAACCTATGAGAATTTAGTTAAAGATTGGGTATGTTAAGATAGCGAATGACTTTCTAAATGAAGTAATTTTGACAAAATATTAATTAATTATCATGAAGTTAAAATAATAACAAAATCGTTAGCTATTTCCAGACTCGTGTCCGTTGGATTTTAATATTTTAAGACTTGCTTGAATGATTATCCCTAAACGCCTGCACGCACAAAGGTAGCCAGAGAGAGGAGGAGTTATAATCATCAAAGATATTCAAATATAAATATGACTTTACTCTAATTAGAATCTTGCAGCAGATGTCTAATAATAAATCGATCTGAGGATAAATTAATTCTCTAACATTTTGACAATCCTCCTTTACATTATAAGGAGTAGGTTTACATGCGATAACATTTCTAACTTATCATCTCACAAGAAGCTTTCTTAGTAATAAATTCATCTTAATACGAAGGTAATCTTAGTGGAATGTTGTCTGGCTGCCAATTTGTTTACATGGGGAGTTTCTGGACTCTCCGACGTCCTGGCTGTACTGTGCGTCTTCCCTCACAGTAAATCCCGGATGTTTCTAAGAGCTTAAATCTGTCACATAATTCACGCTATCTTATACTACGACAGGATCTTAATGACCATGACTCAATTCGCCACAAATGATAAATGGAAGTCTCTAAGATGCTGTCCGTAATTGGCGATCTGTGTTTGTTTATCGCATGTGCAAGGACGATTTTTTGCTGGCGAGGTTTATGCATCCACTTTTTCACAAACGATAAAACGCCTTATCAAATTCAATTTTCTGCACCATATTTAGGGCTCGGTTGCCTGTGAGTTTTTTTTTTTTTTTAACTTCTCCTCCTTCTTCTTCTTCCATGTTGGCATATCTCTGAGGTCGATGTGTTTGGACATGTAAGGAAACAGATGAAGGATATTGCGTAAAACAGTAGTTTTCAGTGAGCTTCGAGAATGAACCATTCGTTGTTGAACTGCTTCTCGAGACAGCGCATGCGCGGAAAAGTGATCACGTGATGTGGATGCACAACAGTTGCCACGGTGGATATTGTGCCCTTCTGTAGTGCATTAGTAAGTCACCGCTCATTACTGGTAATACCCGCATGGAAATTATTACCAAACATTACATGAGGGAAGAATAAGACGAAGGAAAACGAGAACCACAACAGATGAACCGAGAGAAAAAAATAAAAGAGAAAAGAAACGAAAAAGAAAAGGCTTAGAACATCTCACGAGAGGCGAGAAGAAAAACTAATTATGCTGATGTATTCGAGTTGTTATGTTGGGTTAAAGCACGAAGGTCCCCACGGAGAGTGAGGCTCTTCGTCAGGTTCCCTCGGCGCTATCTGAGGCCTCGTTACCTGCCATAATTGCCCCGGCAGAGCGTTCGCACAAGGACCAATATATCACGAACCCCGGTATGCTAATTGGGGGCTAGTTTCCCTCCCGAGTTGGAAGAGGTGCTAACGCGGGTTAATCAATGCACACTCTGGCAAAAAGGGGCGGGAAGAACGCATTCTCCCTCTCCCCGCCCCGTGATCAGATTAGCATGGTGGGGAGGGGAGGAGGGGAGATTGGGAGATAGCATTTTTGTTTGTGTGAGAGAGGGAGAGATAAAGAGGGAGGAGAGGGAAGCAAGAGAGATATACTGTAGATTACAGATAATTTAATCTAAATAGAATATAAATCGAAGAGAAAAAGAGAAAGGATTTTTTCCAAGCAATCAAACAAAAAGAGAGAGAGAGACAAACAGAGGTTTCAGACAGAATATTTTAAGAGAGATAAAGGGCCTCAGAAGGAAAGAGAATTTCATTAAAACGGGCTTCAGATCTGAGAGACAATAATTTCATAGAGAGAGAGAGAGAGAGAGAGAGAGAGAGAGAGAGAGAGAGAGAGAGAGAGAGAGAGAGAGAGAGAGAGAGAGAGAGAATATTCCACAAACAGACAAAACAAAACAAGCCATCACAGACAGCTACATATCGGCTACAAGTGGATGCTTTAGACAGGGAGATATTGGCGACACACACCTAAGCTAATCGATGCGCTGATCATGAAGA